GGATCTTGCCAAAGAATAGGAATTGCCATTTTGCACCAATGTCGGTTCACAAGTGCGCATGAATATAAGGAATCAAACTCAAGATTTAAATTATTGAGAATAATTTCCATTAATTCGGGCATATCGCCCGTAAAAATTTTTGAGGTCATAAGTTTGACTAATTAGAATAAAGGTATGCTTTAGGAAAGATGTTGAATCCGTCATTATTATCGTTATGCATCATAGCCCTTAAATGGGAAATGCACCAATCAGAAAGTGATTAATTAGGTGGCTGTGCGGCACTGTTCGTGCAAAACAAGGTCGATCAAATAATTACATACGTGTCGTATTACGTATACGTAAATCATACGTTAAGAATTTTTGTACTGTAAATACTGAATTTTTATAAAATTTATTAATAAACAAAAAATAAGGGGGAGCCCTAATTTCTCCCCACAGTTGTGATTGTGTGCATGATATCCCGTCTTTAATTGGACAAACTTGTTCATGCCACTGTCACAAAATCAAAAAAACATCGTTTTCTTCAAAAAAAAAAACATATTAAAATAATTTAAAGCGAAAGTATTTTATTTATGCACTTCCAGAATTCTTTCTGCTAGTAAAAAAAAAAATTTAAACCATATGTAATTTTCATAAAGTTTTTGTTCGGTACTTTATTCTAAAATTTGCTGAGACCTACGTTTACAAGCTTGTAATTTTAAAACTTTTTCAAAATTTCTTAACTATATTCTTGGCCGCGATTTTTACTTTAAAAAATAATTAATTGACAAAATGTTTCAAGTACATTTTTATTGCTACTGATACAATATTGCAGATAAATAAAATGCTACGACAAAGTGCTAATTAATATAATTGTTTTAATACTAATACAATAATAATGTAACTCGAGTTCTCAAAAGCCATTTTCCTGAAAGAAATAATTAGCCAGTATAATGTAGTGTTCTTTCGGGAAATAGCTTTCGGAAATCGTACAGAAACCTTGATACAATACTGTAATAGGTGCTAGTTCGTTAATTAGTAATACTGAAAATAAATGTTACAGCTAAGTTTCTAAATAATTAATAAATTTTCATACACCATAAAAAAAAAAAAAAAATCAATACTTATTTTTTTTTCGGATTTTCGTATAGCAGTATGATTAAAGCATTTCAATTAAAATTTTTTTTATATAATATGATAAATTTTTACAGTAATATTCGATAAAATTGGCGAAAATTTATTTAATCGTATACACGAAATTATTTACTAAAAAAATTTGAAGTGCTAAAAAAATGGTAGTGTTAAACAGAAAAGGACTATTTAAAAAAAGAAAAACTGAAAAGAGCGTATTAAACAGCGAAAAGAATTATTTAATAAAAAAAAAGTTTAATCAATATGTAATCATTGCGAAATTTTTAGCCACTCTGATTAGTGATGTAATTGGTTTCGTCCAATGGAAAAGCTATTTGTATTCGTCCAATGGGAAGTGTGGGGAGAATTAGTAAACCCGTAAAGATGCATCTAATCTACTATTTACAGAAAATTTTATCCCAAGTCACGATTTACCCTTTTGCAACGTGGGGTTACATGGCAGCACTTTAAATAAACACGCAAACATGATGACGCGAAAATTTTAAACAAATTTTATTGAAATAATTCATAAAACAATCAAAAACAAAGTAATAAAGAAATCTATAATCACTCAATTAAATTTAAACTACAATCAAGCATATCTGTAACCACACCAGTATTAATAGAGTCGCTCGTGTTTGTTGTAAAATCAAAATTAATAGGCAATTGTATTTCATCTGCTTTATCAAATTGATCTCGTTCCATACGCCCTTGTTCTGAGTCAGGAATAACATACCACTTTTCTAATTTTTCATAAATTTCCAACAGATTTGGACGTTTAGATGAATAATTATCCGTGCACTTATTGGCTAATTCAATATAACACTTAGGTGTACCAATAATAAATTCAGGACGTAATCCCAAACAAATCCGAACAGCTAAATTGTCATCAATCACATGACCATTGAAAGGTTTTTGTAAATTCGCCATTTCCACCATAAGCATACCGAAACTATAAATATCCGAAGCTTCAGTGTATGATTCTCCTTGTAATACTTCTGGTGCTATGTAAGGCAAAACACCAGTTACTTCAGAATTCTTTTCAGACTTAGTTTTAGATATCCCAAAATCCGAAATAATAACTTCAGGATCCCCTTGAAACTTTTTTTTCTAAGCAAAATATTGCCACTATGTAAGTCAGAATGAATAATTCCTGCTGCATGAATTTGAATCAATTCATTTGCGATATCTCTAAGAATATTTAATCTAGAACTCCATTTAATATTATTCTTATTTTTTTCTAAATATTGATTAAGATTTCCTTCATCAGCATATTGTAACACCATCATATATTCATTTGTCTTTGTATTTTGAGTTAAACCATATACTCTGAGCGTATTAAACCGCTGAAAGTTGGAGTGTGTAAACTTATTAAACTAATAAATAAAAAGAAAATAAATTAATAAATAATAAGACAAAAGAAACGAAATTTAATTAGTTACCTCACTTAATAAATCATGTGTGTCCTTATTAGAATTTGGTAAAGGTTTGAGCACAACAACACTTTTTTCACGTGTTCTTCTATAGCCTTGTACCTTATTCATCATATTACTACCGCCACTTCTATATCCCTCAATAAAGATACCGGAATATGCATCCCCCATTTCAAATGCTTCTGCCCTAATCTTATTAAACTCTGTAATAGGATCATTGTCGTCATCATCATCATAATTTAAACTTAAAAAACGTTCGGTTTTACGTATTCCATCAATCCATATTGCAGAATACACAGTACTATCCACCACGACCAATTTCTTTTATATCTTCAAATCTATTGAAAGGAATCCATTCGATAACAAATTCATAATTAGGAGCTTGAAGTTGAAATTTTTTAATACAATCATCAATTTTTTTATTTCCACTCGTCCATCCAATAATCATATGATCAGGATCACATGTTTTGCACCACACTTTTTCGGTGTTGAATTTTCCACAAATCTCACATTTCATATTTAAAACGTTTCTTTCTCTTAACCCTACGATATCACTGAAATATTCTGGGGTTTTGAGATCTTTTTTAATAATTTTTTCCATGCCGATTCCATAAAGACTACAAACAATCGTTTTATATTCTCCATTACCGTTACCGGCATTCATAGATCTTTTATAATAATAAAAAGCCTTTATTTCGTCTTTCTCAACACCTATTCCCCAGTTATAACAGAACCCGGTCCAAAAAAAACCTTCACCATCCTCAAGACATGCTGCTTTATTATAATACTCAAATGCTTTGTGATTATTTTTTCAACATCAACTCCATAAAGATACTGCCGTCCTTGATAACAATATTCTTCAGCTAAAGTATTCCTTTGAACAAACACTATTGTAGAAAAAATTAAGAATTTTAGAAAATAAAAGATTTAGTACTAATAAATTATCTCTTAAATGAATTTAAAATCGTTTCGACTGTAATTAAGTTTTGCAGTTAAAAAAAGAGTTTATCACAAGGTAAATACATACATCATGCATGCAGTATAAACAAATTAGTAAATTAAACGTCATAATTTACGTTAAACCGGTATTGTTTTAGAAATCTTAAAGATAATACAAAAATAAAGTTTCTATACATGCAGTACTAGTTTAACGTAAATTATGGATACCCTAAACCTAAAGTTACACGATTTATTCTTTTACCATAGTTCTTAGTATTATAAATAATCTATTCAGATAAGTTTTTTTGGTTTATTTTTTTTTTCGAAATTTAAAAATCACTCATTAAAATGACAAATACTCAACGACAAACTCGTTACCTATATTCTTTAGTAAAGGTTACCATTCCACCAAGTATGCATTCCGATGGCACTATTTCCGTATTAGGGTCTCCTGTGAAAGATGTTTACCTAATTAACTGTCCAAAATTTAACAGTTGAACAATATGAACGTCTTATTACGATTATCGCTCGATCTCAAGTTCACAGAGAAAAAATGGAGTTGCGTGACAAAGACCATAATGAAAAATGGACGAAAGCTTAGAGAGTTTATTTATGGAGAGTTAATTCATATGACGAAGTTTAACATAGTTTGTCTAGCTTATCTTTTGTTATTTTTTGGGTTATTTTAGATTTTATAATTACGCTTTTGCTTAGTATTAATAAAGATTGTATTCGGAAATTTTATATGGTTGTTATGGTTGTTCTGATTATTTTTTCAATTTTGTTTATGTATGATTATTTAAAGCGTCAATATGATTACAAGAAATGGAATTTTATTTCTGATAGATTTTATTGAATAAAATAAAAGAAGATAGAAAGAGAGATAATATAAATTGTATATGATAAGGGCTTTCGGAAAAAAAGCTGCTTAATATTAATTAGGTCAAAAAAAGTATCGAATATTGTTGAATATGAGCTGTCAAAATGAGGTTTTCAGATTAAGTGATGAGGTAGTTTCTATTTGGGTCTGATTTTATTATTAAACCATAATATCCAAATTTTGATCAAAAATTTGGGTTGTTTTGATTCGGAAATATACGGATAATTGAATTTTCGATTGTTACGTATAAATGATCGTCTCAAATTAATTTATCAACATTCGCCTAATTAGTATTAACACATTTTTTTTATTTTTTTTTATTTTTTTAATTCGAAAACTCTCGTATTCTCTTTCATACAATAGAGCCCTTTTTAATACTTTTATAATTAATTGTAAAAACATTTTTGTGAATGTCAATCAAATTATGAAAAGATTATAAATTCTATTTAAGAAAAAAAATTGATGAGAACTTTCAAATAAAATAAAAATTAATTATGATTAAATGGATTGGATGTACCCATACTACCAGTAGTACAATGTACTACATTGTGACAGTTTTAAAGCTATTTATCTTCTAATTTAGAAAATTAATATGCTATTAAATACTTGTATAAAGTATCTTATATATGTGGCAATATATATTTAAAATTTGGTAGCTCTAAGTATTTTTTTAGATTTTTTAGAATTTTTTAAAAACTGGCTTTTTTTAGCTTTTTTACTAGTAAATTTTACTAGTAAACTTTATATTAAAAACTAAGTTTAATTTTTTAAAATTTTAAACTTATATTA